ACATTCTGTGCAATTCGAACAAGGATTAAATAAATGGACATTGCACGCTAGTCGATAAGCCTAGTTCATAAAATCGGTGAGCATGAAAGGTTAAAGGTCACGAACGAATGAGAAAATGTAAACAAAGCAGACGACACGAAAATCATTGGTCAAATCTGAGAAAATTGTTCGTTATTTTATTAAGAAAAATATTTCAGATGAAAACTAAAAGGATAAGAAAGAGTTCATGTAACTTTTAAACAATACAAACCATTTGTATCTGAAGCAGTGATGAAAGTTTCTACACAATCAAGTCCCCGAAAACTGCTGCTGTCCTTGCACATATCTATGATGCCCTTAATAGCCAGACTTGGAGGTTTGGGTGCTGATCCACCCCCTGTTTTGTTGATTTCTTTTTTGTGATCTGTGAACGTTTTTTTAGCAATCTTCTTACAATTGTTCCACTTGTCTTTAACTTCTTTTGTTGTTCTTAAGGCTACCCCCAATGAACTAACTTTGGATGCAATATTATCCCACACTCTCTTCTTTTTTTCATTTGTTACAAAATTTGATTGTTTTGAGCTTAGTAACCCATAATGTTTTTCCACCTCCCTTTGAATTAAAAGTTCCTCCTCCTTACTAAAATTTGTTTTCTTTATCCTTTTCTTATCCAAAGAGTGACTGGAAGCCATTTTGGAAATTAGCAGACGATATGGAACCATGGAATTATGGGTAAAAAAGTGCTTTGGTTATAATTAAATGGTTGGTTATATTTTAACCAAATGGTTATGTAACAAGATTGTTTAATTAAGTTGAACAACACATTTTTAACCTTTGGTAATGTAATGCATTGTTAAATATTTAACCAATGGTTAAATATAACAGCATAGTTAAAATAACGACAAGTTGAACAACCGGGCTCTGGTGGTAGAACCAAATGGTCTATTTTCTTTTCTTTTTTTAACTGTATTTAATGGGGAAAAAGGAACTTTCGACATCAGATTTGATCCTTTATGTCTTTTACCGAGCAGGAAATTGTCAAGTGGCACTGATCACTTTCTCGTTTTTCGCCTACGTCTCAGTTGAAAGCCGCAATTATTTTCGCTTCGGCGATGACGTCAAAACAGCGATAACGTCATAGTTTCACTGACTGTGGAAATCAAAATTTCCGAGCGCTTTAAATTGCTATGAACAACTTCGCCTCGACCGTAAAAATCGCCCTTGGAAA